AGAGAGAGAGAGAGAGAGAGAGGGAGGGAGGGGGGGAGAGAGAAATTTAAAATTACTTACTTTTCTTCGTGTCGTCTAGAGCAGATGAGAGATTCCAGATTTTTTTGTCGAGCCCAGAAAATGACTCTTTCAAGTCGTCCAAGACGCTAGAGGCGTTGTCGTGCATTGCTTCCAGTCTGCGAGAGAGGGCACGTTCACGTTCTCGATCTTGTGCCAACAGTCCGCTGACATTTCCCATCGTGTTGTCAACGTACAGCTCGAGACTTGGCCACACTTCTTCCGAAAATCTGGCCAAGAATTTTTCGACTATATGTTCGCAGTCACACTTGCTGCTATTTCTGTTTACTATTGCCTCATTGGCGTTTTCTTTATTGTACTTTTCAGTATTTGAGTTTGAAAAGGTGTCGATGTCAGAAATGTCTTTCTCCTGATGACTTTCTATATTCAAAAGTCTCTCGTTCATGAAACCAATTTCATCATCGAATCCTCTAGTCTCATTCTCAATTCGATTAAACTGTCCTTCGATTCGCTCAAGACGAGTACTGAGCACTGGAAGTTCCTTTCTGGCATCTTCACAACCTTCTAGTCTTTCAGTAACAGCCTTTGACATATTCTGATTATTCGAATTATCTTCTCGAATAAGTCCTATTTGATTAGTCAGATATTCCAAACGATCATCCACTACTCCCTTCGAGTTTTTCAAGTCTTCTACATCTTCTCCCAGCTGTTCGAATACAAGAGATCGAACAACACTTCCTAATGTCTGATTGGCCACAATGTCTTCCACATCCCGGATTTTTGACTTACTTTCACGCTGGGTTTTTTCCAGGTTGCCCAGCTTGGCGAAGACGCTCTCGCAGCCCTCGGCGCTACCTTCGTCTTCTGACGTCACTCCTTGGACATTTCCGCTTTGGTCTCGGCTTTTGTTGGGACTGAAAACATTCCTTCCTTTACAGTCAAGGGCATGAACTCTGTTGCTCATCCGGGATAACTCTGAGATTACAGTATCTCTCAACTTAGACAAATCTGAGCAGGTATGATTCCCAAAATATTCGGAAAGTTCTCTCAATATCGAACTTTTAATTTCTGAGAGTGTCCCTTTTCTATTGACTCCAGAATCAGAATCACCGTCTTTACTTGACGCAAGACTCGACAATATATTAATGACGTCATCATCTCCTGCGCTCTCCGCGGAGCCATTGTCCTTAGAACTGAACGTCTCAACATTGCTCTTCCCTGAGTCTGACACTGTTTTATCCACTTTTCTAAATTTATTTTCCAACTCTTCTAACCGTTCCTCAATCCCCTGATCCTTCAAGACATCAAGTACCCCCTTACTCACTTTCTCGTCTTGCTGCTGGCAACATTCAGAGTTATTGAGCAAAACAGGAGAGAGCAAAGATGAAATGTTCGTTAGTGTCAAACGTGTGTCCAATTCGTTTCGCAGCTTTTGGACAGTTTCCTCGCAACATTTTTCCGTCCTGTAAGATTCGCCCGGCTTCACTCCGGGGCTGTTCCGAGCACCATTTTCAGAAACATTTGGAGAGTTTTCAAACTCGTTGAATTTGATGGTATACGCTTTTAGCTTTTCTTCTATGCCGTCTTGCAGATCTGTGAAACTGTCGCCAAGTTTTTCCGTAACGTTTTCTAACCGATCTATTCTAAGACTTTGCTGGTCAAACGTGTTGTTCATGTCGGTGACCACGGTCTTCAAGTTGTCGCCAATTTCCCTCCAGAGTCTGTCTACACTGTCCGAAACGGCGCTGATTGTGCCGTAAATTTCCCTCTTGTGCGCCAACAGGGGGCCCTGGGATATGTGGCCTTGTCGGCAAAAACAGGGCTGTTGTGACCTCTGACCCGGTGCGTCATCGGAGCTTTCAGAGGACGTCGATCTGAGAGTTTCTAAGCTCTCAGAAAGCTTGTCCAACTTGGATTCCGCCTTAGAGAGTCTGGCCTCGAGCTGTCTCAAAATAGAATGCACTGTAAAGAGGCTTCGAGTATGGAGTACAGAAATACCACGGTTTCCTTTTTCTTCCTTCATAACAGGTCCATCTTGAGTATGGAGTTCGGAAATATCACTTTTTCCTACTTCTTCTGCTTTTTCTTCTTCTATGGCAGCACCGTCCGAGTAAATGGCTATTTCACTTTCGCTCTCAGGAATGTCTTTGCCGTCTGCAACACCACCTCTTCTCGATGATTCTTCATCAACGTCTTTTTCGACCCCCGGAATCGCTTCACTTTTTGAAGCGCCATCTTTGAGACAGGTGACGTCACGCTCCAGTTTTTTCACCTTCTCGTTTTGTGTCTGTTCATTCCGAATAAGCGTCTCAACAAGTTCTAGAACATTCCGTTGGAATTTGCCATTTTCGCCTCGCGCCCCATACTGGGTTTGAGAGTGTCCAAAATCGTCTCCCATCTTATGACGTAATGGGTTTCTGTAGACAGAACACCTCTCCCGACAAAGTACCCACTTTTCCGTGACGTCACTGTTGGGCGTGAACTCCGCTTCTCGTCTGATAAACCGCCTCCTGCGAGAACTTCTAACATAATCCAAGCCCTGTCGAATATTTTTCGATCCGTCCAAATTGTTTGTGTGTCCATTTTGACTCCTACTTTTCTCCGGAAAAAAATTTAATCTCCGAAATTTCGTTTGCAGCTTTTCGAGAGCGTGGATGTTTGAGAGCAGGGGCTGCTCTTCCTGATTGTCTTCCCCACCATCTGCTTTCTCCGCGGAGCCCTCTTCTTCTGATGTCTCCTCATTCTCAGAAAAAGTTTCTTTCTCAGAAAAAGTTTCTTTCTCAGAAAAAGTTTCTTTCTCCGAATTAGTGATGTGAGCAGAAGTGAGAGAGGGTTTGTCGTTGTTGTCTGCTGTAGATCTGCTCACGGTTGTTGACGTTACTTGCTGGCGGTCTGGGTGTACTGCGGAGACGACTGAGACCACGAGATGATGATGATGATGATGATGATGATGATGATGATGATGATGATGATGATGATGATGATGATGATGATGATGATGATGATGATGGTGGTGGTGGTGGTGGG